GCCGTTGACCTTGAGCAGCCAGGGCTGGTCCTCGGCGCGGAATTCCTTGAGGACGATGCCGTATTTTTTGCGGCGCGCTTCCTCGCGGAGCTTGCGGTTGAACTCGCTGCCCGCGCCCGACTCCGGCAGCTCCTCCTCCTGGTAGATCTTCTTGTTGCTCAGGTCCCGCTCCATGCGCGCCTGCGGAATTCCCGGGATCCCACCAGCCCCTGGGCTTGGTCTGGAATCCCAGCCCTGATCCCGCTGGCCCCAAATCCAGCCCCAAACCTGACCAACCCCCAACCCTGTCCCTGAATCCCAGCCCTGAATCCTGGTGTCCCCAAATCCCAGCCCTGATCCTGCTGGCCCCAAATCCCAGCCCTGAATCCCAGCCCTGAATCCTGGTGTCCCCACATCCCAGCCGCAAATTCAACCAACTCCCAATCTTGTCCCTGAATCCCAGTTCTGAATCCTGGTGTCCCCACATCCCAGTCCTGATCCTGCTGGCCCCAAATCCCACCCGCAAATTCAACCAAATCCCAATCTTGTCCCTGAATCCCAGCCCTGAATCCTGGTGTCCCCAAATCCCAGCCCTGATTCTCCTGGCCCCAAATCCTGTCCCTGAATCCCATCCCCAAATCCAACCAAACCCCAATCTCATCCCTGAATCCCAGCCCTGAATCCTGCTGGCCCCGAATCCCGGTCCTAAATCCTGGTGTCCAAATCCCATCCCCAAATCCTCATCTCGAACCCGGTTGTCCCTGAATCCCAGCCCTGAATCCCATCCCTCAATCCCGCCAACTCCGAATCCCAGCCCCCAGTCTCATCCCCGAATCCCACCCTGAATCCAGCCGTTCCCAATTCCCGCCACCTCCAAGCCCCGACCCTAAATCCGGTTGTTCCCCCCAATCCCTCCCTTGCCGCTTCCCAAATCCCGTTCCCACCCGCTGGAATCCGCCCTCACCTGGTGCCAGGTGGCGAAGTTGACCTTGTCGGCGGCATTAAAGGCCATGATGTTGTACCTCTTGCTGGTGCTCCTGGGGGAGAGGCACCGTCACCCGTGTCCCCTCGTGTCCCTCCGTGTCCCCTCGTGTCCTCCCGTGTCCCCTGTGTCCCCCGCCGGTGGCAGACACCCACCTGGGCACCCGGACCATGTACTCGGTGACCATTTGGCTGCTGGTGCCCTGCGGAGAGAGGAGCGGAGCGGGATGGGACGGTGCGGGAGGCCCCAAGGGGGTCCCCCGGGGACCGTGAGGGGATCTATGGGGTCCGTGAGGGCCCCGGGGGATCTATGGGGTCTCCCAAAGGGTCTATGGGGTCCCCCAGGATCCATAAGGGTCCCCCCAGGGTCTGTGGGGTCCCCTTGGGTCCTGAGGGTCCCCACAGGGTCTATGGGGGCCCTGAGAGATCTATGGGGTCCCCCAAAGGGTCTGTGCAGTCCCCTGGGGGCCACGAGGGTCCCCCCAGGGTCTGTAGGGGCCCTGGGGGATCTATGGGGTCCC